AATGATATGAAACCTTGAAAAGGCACAACTCCAGGTCAAGACCTTTCTAATGATACCAAACTCAACCATAAAAACCCATTTTATCATATAAATGCACTGGCCACAAAATTTTTCTTATTCTCTTAATAATATAGATTATTATTATTATTATTATTATTATGATAATTATTATTGCTGTTTTAAATATTATTGCTTGCCTCATGAAAGTCATGCTGCTGTCACAGGAAAATCATGTGGCAGCTATATGGAAAAAATCATGTGGCAGTCACATGAAAATCATGTGGCAGTCACATGAAAATCATGTTGCAGCCACATGAAAAAATCATGGGCCGCCACAGGAAAATCATGTGGCATTCACATGAAAATCATGTGGCAGCCACATGAAAAAATCATGTGGCTGCCACAGGAAAATCATGTGGCAGTCACATGAAAATCATGTGGCAGCCCCAATTTTTTTTTTTGCGTGTAGAATGGAATAAAATCTAATATTGTAAGATCGAAAGAGTCACTAACGGATTAATTCCAAAGGCTTGGGATGTTTTTTGAGGTTCCTGGTGAGGTCAGCATTATAAGACTCTGAATAGTTATCAGTTGTTTTCTTCAAGTTATACACACTAAAATCCGAAGGACCTCTTGTGTCAAGCCAATAATCTTTATAATACGTTAGAAGAGGTCTAAAAATTTCTTTGTGGTCGTTAGTTAAACTTTCGACTAATTCCTCATAACCCTTCTTAATTTTGTCTTCAGGTAAAAACGCAAGTGCCATGAGTCTTCTTAGTTCAGAACGTCCCTCACTATCTCCTTTTATTTCTTGCCACACGTCAAGCGTGGAAGCGTTTTTTTGGATTGCCTGTGGAGGAAGTGTAAGATTGGAAAATTACGGGTTGAGTCAAATTACGATATTGATAAAATAGTAGAAATATAATAGTATAGTAAAATAGTAGAATAGTAATCAGAGCGAAAAAAGAGGGGTGTTTTAGCTTAAAGAAGAAAAAATATATAAAATATTGCGTGAAAAATGGCGAAAAGGCGTACTACAGCAGTTAAAGAGGGGTTTATGTCAAAAGAGCGTATAAAAGCATTTTTTTTTCCATCCAAATTAAAATTGTTCAAATTGTCAAAATCAGTAAAAGAATGTTTTTGAACAACTAACGCTAAAGGGAGCGTATTTGATGATATTCGCTAAATGGTTGATGATTTCAGAAAAATGATTATAGCAAAATCGATACTGATAAACTTTTTATAAGATAAAAGCCCCAATAGATGATCATGTACCAGTATATGATCACTCCATGTATCAGCATAGAATCTAACGATATTTAGGGAGGTATGGAAGACGCTGGATAATATACATATTAAAGAATCTAATTAATAAATAGATTTTAATTTTAAATGTGAAACGTCATACTTGCGCCAGATGGAAAAAACATCCGCGGATGTCTGCCAAGGGCATGCAATCTTTGAATGCATTTCGTGAAGCAATTTCAAAATCCACCATCATGAAATTTTTATAATCCTTGAACTTTTTAAAAATCACCTTGAAAATACTTTTGTATGCATTTTGTGTCTTCCGGTCAAGCAAAATCCAAGCCAGAGGGAAACACTGAAATTAAAGTTAAATTAAGAATTAATAATGCAATAAAGATGAGAACCCGACTGGTTCGTATTTTGCACCAGACTCAGTCGTGTGCGACGCCAGACTGGTTACTATGCACGGATTCTGGTGCAGCACCCGACTGAGTCTGGTGCAGAACACAAGTGAGTCGTTTACGTCCATGACTCAGTTAGGTGCGCAAACGACTCTTTCTGGTGCGCACACGACTCAGTCTGGTTCAATGCATATTTGTGATCACGAAATTATTAAATCTTCCTTTAAAATCGATTCGACAAGAAATTTCGATGGTACTTATATATTAAAAAAAAAAAAACAATTTTCAAAATTATTCGACAAACGATAACTGCTGAATGAATTAAACAATCTCGTTTCGGTTTGTAGTATTCGACACTGCCTATTAAGGTTATGAGATTAATAGATTTTGTGAGTGATCAGTATAGCGATTCAAAATCGTTTCGATCGATCAAGTTGTTCCAAAGTTATGAGAAGTTTACGATTACACACACACGAACCCACGTACACATAGCATTTTTATCAAAATTGTTCGAATAGCTTCTTAGAACCTATGAATGTTTATGTCTGATGAGAACTTAATTTTCGAAAATTGGGATTAAGCTAATAACTTTTCAATTTTCCAAAATCTTTGATTTCCATAGCGGGAAGTTAAAAATTTATAAATTTAACGACAGTTATGCAAGAGAAAAGAGATCATATTTAATAATAGTATTAAATAGTATTAAATACAATGATTATTACCGTATTTTCCCATATGGCGTGGATTACGTAGAGTTGATGATGCTTGGTTACTTTTTTAGGTGCAGTATCAGGATATCGAGAAAAAGTGCCATCACCGCACAACATTTCACAATTTTTAAATTTAATCATGTACTCTGGATTCCATATAAGAAGTGAAGTGCTGTTTGTAGTTTTAATCAAATCTACTTTCAGCCTTCCACCACTGTACTCAAGCAAATCTTGGTATTCATCTTTGATCATAACGCAGTACAGCTCCTCGATCCCTTTTGTTATTGCCGGGTAAGTCACAGGAGGACTTGTCCATCGCTTCAAGGTACTCTTTATTGACTTATACGGGAAAACCACTGCGGCTTCTGGGCATCTGGAATAGAAATTAGATTTATTTTTTGATTTTTACACTGAAAAAGAAATTAACTTGATTCAAGAGAAAAATTGCTTGAACCAAGAAAATCATTTTGAAGAGCATCATCGTTCTGAATTAAGTAAAAAATTCTCGAACTGAGAAATTTTTCTTGCATTTAGTAATTTCTACTGGTTCAAGAATATTTCTCTTGAATTTAGTTAATTATTTTTCAGTGTACATGTCGTTTTCGACGGGGTGTGGGAATATATGTATTGAAACGTGTCTGTATGTATGTGTGTGTGTGTGTGTGTGTGTGTGTGTGTGTGTGTGTGTGTCAGTTTCTCTCGTCAACAAATGTCTTTGTTATTTGTTACGGTGTTGTTTGTGTGTTCGCTAATTTTTTTATGTGTTGTTTAATTGAAATAAAATTATTTTAAAACTATTAATAATTTATTTTGAAAGTGTTTTAAAATAGAATAACAGATATTTCATTTGTGTCTAAAAATATTAAAAAAGTAAGTAAATGATATGAATAAATTTTATTAAAAATAATAATACTATTTTATTAATATTGTATTAATAATATTACTAGTAAAAATAATCAGAGGAATTTATTGATTAAGGAAATCCTTTCGCTCCAGTTGAGTTAAAACAATTGTAGTAGTCAATATACGATAAATTAAAATAAAAAACCCATAAAAATTCCTAAAATTAAATAACAAATAGTATATGAGGCATTAATCGTTGAAATTTTAGAAATAAAAAAAAAATATAGTTAAATACAAAAATTAATTTGACTCTTTCAAATCAGCTGCTAGTAACCTGTCCGTGATTTGGCAACGCTGTACTTCGGTTGTTTACATTTTCATTTGCACAATATAACCTTAACCACGTTTAAGTTTTTGCAGTCAGTGTAAATACTTAAATGAATTAGTTTTAATTTATTGAATGGTCTGAAGCTCGCGCGCTACGCAACGTTGCCAAATGTTTTGATTCCATTTTAATGTAGGTTACTTGAGAATTTTTTGTGATTTTTAAATATTAATTTCTCAATAAATATCTCGGTAACTGATATATGTTATTGCAAAAAAAAAAAAAACCTGAATATTTCGAAAATCTAATTTTTAGGTTTTTTTTACTTCATCTAATCCATGACTGATAATATAATTCGAGAAATACTGCAAACGCCTGACTTTCTCGTAAGACTCTGAACAAATACTAACATTTAAAAACTTTATTTTTTCAAAAATTTGTCCGGTAAAGTATAATAATTTAAACCTCACTATTAGATAAAAAAGGCCCTTAACTATTAGAAAAAAATTGAATTTACTCATAATCTAAGATTTTTTATTTTACATTGGCGGCGAAAGGACCTCCTTAAATAAATTATGTCAATACAAAAAAAAATCACTAAAATTTACACAATGTTCAAAATAATTTTTTGAATTCTTATACTACCTATACTAATCTACATTCTTTACTATATCATATTAAATGACACTTGAAATATTATAATTATCTTTCACTAAGATCAAATATTTTCACGATTCTAAACTCTTCAATCTAACAAAAATAAACATAAAGCTAAATATCAACAACAATGTCGATTAAATATTTTAGCAAAAATAAAGCGAACAACAAAATAAGCAAAAAAAAAATATCGATCGACCTTTGGGTCTGACTTGGTAGCAACGAGATTTGAGATGATCCCCACTAGCAGCACCGTAGTAGCAGGAACAACATAGAACAATATATAGCTGTACTCCGTCTCTTTCGATCCCGAATCAGGCATCTGCGTCGGTTCCTAGTTCCCGCGCACACAAGCTAGCTGTCCCATGGACATTGGTCCCCCCAATGGTGGTGTGGGTGTCGGGAAGCGTCGCTCGTGGGGTGGCAGAGCCGTGCCAACCAGTGCCGACGACATCAACAGTGCTGTCTGAGCTCTCGAAGTTGTGGGGTCGCTCGGTCGGTAGGTCGGTAACCCCGCTTTAAGAATAAAAACCTCGATCATTCAATCTCGAGTCTTCGTCAAAGTTATACCGTTGATTGTGCTACTCCTCGAGTACACTTAATCCTCTTACTTGTGATACAGATACGTCTTTCGTCGTAAGTACCATCAATAATACACTCAACGCTCTGCAGCACTTATCAATCCTCATTATCATCTGCATTAACATTCAACGCTCTTCATTATAATTTATTGATAATAAAATACATATGTGTCTTCATTATACATAACAAAATTATTAACAAATAAATATAATTTTATGCCAAAGGTTACTAATCATGAAGGCCCATACACTTGTCGTGGGTGCTTGCTTCTTACTCGGTTTGTCTGGTAAGTTTATCAATTATTAATCTTTAACATTTAATTAACATCAATCGACCGCGATAAATTTTTTCTTTGTCTTCCGGGGGTTGATGATTGTTGATTGATTTTACTCAAGCTAAGAAGTTAAGAAGAAATATTTTCAAATAAATCGTGACTACCAATTTCACTTGCAAAAGCTTAAAGGTTCGGGTTTTCATAAAAATCCATTCCAAGTAGTTTGAAATTATCAAGTCTGACGTCCCTTTGTCTGTATCCGCACCCCTTGGTTAGAGCGGCGCAGGCGTCTGCCGGATCAATGACGATGGCCGTGCGCGCGTCCCGGCGCGGCAAACGGAACAAGATATCTCTGGGTTATATCGTATAAGCTAAAGAAAATCAACTTCGCATATATAAATATAGATGCAGATATGAATGTCCTTACATTAAATATTTTATTTGATCGGTTGCTCATTTATTTGCCTGAGAATTAACTGGGACTTGGTTAAGGTCTTATTTCTTAGATTTAGATAGTAGTAATTATAAATATAAAACAGGCAATGATCTTGAAACGTTTATCACGTAGATGTTTATTGTCACACTATTGTTGTTATAAATTATCCAATTGTGCTAACTGGAGCGGCAATTACTGGTATAGTGTCTAATGTAACCGTAACGATCTACTGTTTGAAAAATAAGACATACTTATATACGTTCAAATGTATAAATATAGATGTAAGCGGTGAGATTAAGGGTACAAGCGAGGGCGGGTAGTAGTGAACTAAATAATCGAAAGGCTATGTAATACTTTTATCCCCGTTTTCAGAAGAAATTTGTAGGATTGTAATTTTTTTTTTTTTAATTTATTTTATGTAAATAATATACATTATATTTTTCTTTAGAAGAATGATTATTTTTAGTTATTTTTAAATTAATTAGCTTTTACATTGCGGACTTTTACAATTTTTTGTGGGATTTATTTGACGAAATTATTTAACAATTTATTAAAATTTGTTTTCAAGGAAAGAAGTTAGTAAAAAAAATTTTAATATAAAAAAAAAACAGATAAAATGGTTTCGTTCATTTAAAAAAATTGTAGAGATAGATAATTTCCTTCTGAGAAAGACGATATTTATTTTTCAATGTTTTATTTTATTTAACGTACGGGATAAGAATGTAGAGAGAAAAAATAATAATGTAATAGTTTAAATTTGAGTAAAGAGAACGAGGCGATCGCTTCGACGTCATTGGTATACCGCGGCTATACACTTTCTAGGGCACGTTAGCGGGTATATACCGAGCTACATTGATTTTCAAGCAGACCACGGCCAGGGAATCATTGGTGAACCGATGTTCGTTCATTCAACCCTTATCTACTTGTTTAAATTATCAATAAATCGTTACTTTGTTGAATTATTATATTTTATTTACTGACGACTTCATTTTAGAGAAACTGAGCTAAACTGGACTGAACTAGAAATTTTTTTATGAGCTCCGGTAATCTAATCGGTTTTGGAAATAAAATATTAACTCTTATCTGAACGCTGTGACTAAGAGCAATTATATTAAGTAAGGAAAGTAAATTCATAAAATTTATATTGACCTTTTGTTTTTTTAGGCATTAATGCACTCGAATGTTACGTGTGTAACAGCTACACTGACAGCCGGTGTGGTGACAAAGAACCACATCCAAGTCTTATTCAAAAATGTGACATGCTTTCAAGTGGTGGCACCAAGTACACTATGTGCAGAAAAACCGTGCAGTCTATTGAATTCGCAGTGAATGGATGTACGTATTTTAATTATTTCATTTTTTTTTGTTAGTTAACTTTTATTTCGAAAACTAATTAGTGAAAAAACAAAATTTTTTAGTGAATAACTTTAGTAATTGTTGAAAGAAATTTAACTATTAAAAAATTTTATTTTATATTTTTTAAAACGTTGACTCAATTTATTTATTCAATAAAAATTTTTTGTACATTAAAGTATCATAATTTTTTTTTTAAATTATTCTTTTTATTGAGATTAAAAATTTTTTTATTAATTTTATAATTTGTATCAGTAATTAGCTTTAAAAAAATTTCTATTAATTTTTAATAAATTATTGGTAGTAATTACTATCAAAAAATAGTTTGAAATTTTTTGAAAAATTTGGTTTAATTAATATAAAATAAATTAATATAAAAAAATGAATTTTTTAGTGCCACCAGAGATAAGAACCATAAGAACTTGCGGATACGACGAATCAAACTACAAAGGCCGATGCTACCAACGCGGAGGTTTCGGAGGTCGACAGGAGGTCTGCTCGTGCTTAACCGATCGCTGCAACTCAGCGACAACGATTTTGGACAAAGCGCCCCACTTTATTTTAATGCTTGTGTGTATTATCGGTAGTGCCGTGCGCACCCTGGTCGGCAACTAATAAACGACAGCCCTTGAGCGCGTAGCAATCGGGCCTTCGAGGAGCCGGCCGACCATGATGACACCGAACTTAAAACGCAATGTCATCATCCTCGCTCCGGACTCGTAGCAACAATTTTATTGAACAAAATAAATAAATTAAAACAGCAACAAAACCATTTATTAATGGCAACGAAAATATTTAAAATTGTCGATCAAGTCGGATGTTTAATGTTGTTGATTGCGTTATTGTTGCCGGCGTGACAGTACGTCCGCGCCTCTCCTTAAGAACAATCTCATTGATACCAGAAAATAATAACTATAATTACTACTAATAATTTAAAATAAAAATTAATATTTATAAGTTAACAATAATAATAATAATGATAAAAATAAAAATAACAATAATTATAATAATGATAATGATATTGATATTAAGGAGAGATAATAATAATAA